ACGCAGGACGTAGGTACAAGGACCAGCACCCCCACCCGGCTGATGCGCAGCGTACCACTCACGAAGCTGCTGGGGGGACGGGGTCTCACGAGCGCGCTGCTGCTGCTGGCGCGGACCACCACCGGAGCCATCTCTCTCCGCAGAGCCACCCCGACTTGCGCCACCGCCGCCGCCGCCACCTCCACTACCGCCGCCACCGCCGCCTCCTCCGCTCCCGCCGTCACCGCCGCCGCCTCCTCCGCCTCCACTGCCGCCACCGACACCCCCACTCCCGCCACCACCCCAGCCACCACCCCCACCCCCTCCGCCGCCTCCACCGCCACCTCCACCGCCCCCGCCAGCTCCACCACCGCCCTTGCCCCTGTGCGGCGTCTCCCGCTAGGGGCAGACGCCGCGCCGACCGACTCAAGACCAACTAGGTCGGCCGCAGCAGCAGAGGCAACAGAGGGCAAGAGGGGGGAGGGGGAACACCCCTCAAAGAAGGGGGTACGAGGGTCACCACGAGAGGCTCCTACAGCGACTATACTCTTCTCTGCTTGCAGGAGGCGCTCCTCGAGGAGGTCAACGGTGAGAGTGGTGGGGCAAACAGAGAGGAAGTGGTCCCTGACCGAGCGAAGGGAGTCAGGGAGCCGGGTGACTATGTAGTAGAGGGTGATGTACATAGGGGGGGGGGGTTCTTGGCGCAGAACTCAGCAGGAAGTGCAGCGCGGTAGCGTGTGTCACTAGTGCGAAGGTGCGTAGTGAGGTCAGCGACTGTGGGAAAAGCGGCGAGGTCAGGGAACAGGTACGGCAGCATGAGGCGGCTAAGGGCAGCAGTGGCAGGGGAAGAGTAGCGTGCAACTACAGCGTCGTACAAGGTCTAAGCACTCTTGTACTTACTAAAGTGCGCACGCTCAGTGGTCGGTAAGTGACGGCGCATAGCAAGACGGGCAGCAGCATCACGTGTGGCCCACTGTGAGCGAACAGTGTTGTCAGCATCAGTAGGCGGGGCAGGGGAGGCACAAGACGTGAGATCGAACAGGGAGAGACCGTCTGCCCTATCGCACTGTAGGAAAAGCTGCAGGTCATCGATCCATACCTCAAAGTCAACAGCTCGACCCTCAGCATCAAAGGTAAGGACACTAGGGGTTGCCATGACAGCAGCAGCCTAGCGGGGAGAGCAGGAGGCTAGAGGTGGCGCAGTAGCAGAGGTGCTGCGCGAAAGTGCGCTTACCAGACCGTTAGTTAGGGCTGCAGCGGCAGTTGTGGTCGCGGCTCGACGGCGGCGGCTACTCGAGGGCGGCAGCGGCTCGGCGGCTCGGTGGCGGCTCGGCGGCTCGGCGGCGGCTCGGCGGCTCGGCGGCTCTGCTTCGCGGCGGCTCGGCGGCTCGGTGGCGGCTCGGCGGCTCGGCGGCTCGGCGGCGGCTCGGCGGCTCGGTGGCGGCTCGGCGGCACGGCGGCTCGGCAGCGGCCGCAAGAGGGCGGCAACGGGGCCGCAAGGGCGGCGACGGGGCCAAAAGGGCGGCGACGGGGCCGCTGGCGGCGACGGGGCCGTTGAGGGCGGCGACGGGGCCACGAGGGCGGCGACGGGGCCGCAAGGGCGGCGACGGGGCCAAAAGGGCGGCGACGGGGCCGCTGGCGGCGACGGGGCCGTTGAGGGCGGAGACGGGGCCGCAAGGGCGGCGACGGGGCCGCAAGGGCGGCGACGGGGCCGCAAGGGCGGCGACGGGGCCGTTGAGGGCGGCGACGGGGCCGCGAGGGCGGCGACGGGGCCGCAAGGGCGGCGACGGGGCCGCTGCGGGCGGCGAAGGGGCCGTTGAGGGCGGCGACGGGGCCGTGAGAGGCGGAAACGGGGCCGCTGCGGGCGGCGTCGGGGCCGTTGAGGGCGGCGTCGGGGCCGCTGCGGGCGGCGACGGGGCCGCTGAGGGCGGCGACGGGGCCGCGGCGGGCGGCTACTGGGCCGCTGAGGGCGGCGACGGGGCAGCGGCGGGCGGCTACTGGGCCGCTGAGGGCGGCGACGGGGCCGCTAAGGACGGCGACGGGGCCGCAATGGGCGGCGAGGGGACCGCCAAGGGCGACGACGGGGCCGCTAAGGGGACGCGACTCGACAGGAGGACGGCCAACGGGGCGCGCCTCGGGCAGGGGCGACTCGCAGTTCGGGCAGGAAAAAAAAATTAGTGGTGGGCCCTAGGAAGCGTTCCCACTAGGGAACCTGCTCTGATATCATGTGGAAATGAACAAGAGAATGGATGACTAAGGAATGAGTGTGATACAAATATGAAACCCTAGAAGTTTGTGTACCCGTTAGTATCTAACCCGCTACAGCCTACACAGGCTAGATCATATCAGTCTGACATAAATAGCAAAGTTATTATGTATTGTATCGTTGCTAGGATTCTTTGCGTTTTTGTGGTACAGTTATGCACCTTATCCCCATTGTTCCACATTTGTCTTTCATTTTTCTTTCTATTGCTGATTCTTTCCAAACAGACCTTGCTGTTTTCTTTGGGAAGTGAAGCTTAATTTGGACGGTGCAAAGATACAGACGCTTCCGTGTAGGATTACATGTACATTGCTAGGGTTTGATTTTGCTCCTGCCTTTTTTTTTTGCTTAAAACAGTTGATGCATTGAGCGTTTTTGGTTTGTGTCAATGTGTGTGATCATGTGTATGCGTTTGTATGTGTCTATGTGCGTGTGTGTATGTGTTGTATTGTGTGCGTACATGCTTTCATTCATTCTTCCATTGCATTAATAACACATGTCTGTGGGGTTTAAAAAACATGATCAAACTATTATTTCCAAGAATGTTCTTTGCCCACTCAGTGAGTGTGTTCATTTGAACTGGATTTAATAGAATTGACCTTTTTTTTAGATCGCACAGATTGTGTTGTTTCATGTGACAGTTGGATGATTCAGGAACTATGCTATTGAGCTCCCCCCCATGCTAGGTAGGGGATGCGGTAGTATAGGGTCTGGGTCAATTAGCTGCGATGCATTCTCATTATGCTATGGATTCATTTCATTACCACAGTAGTATATATACGCAACATAATTATGCATTTTTCACTCAATATTTAGTTCACCGTATCCATCATTATACTTCATCTACGCATAACATCATCCGGCATATGAATCACGGAATAAACAGTCACGCGCTCACAGTAACATCATTTCGGCAACCCATGGAGTATAGGTTCGGTTAAGTCAAACCAAGAAATGAGAAGGAATATGGTACAGCTGTCATAATGTTATTATCTAGCCTGTAGTGGGGTGCTCTATAGCGGGTACAACCCAGCTAGGGTTTGCTATATGTATCCCAACTGCTGCTAGTGAAAACCTCTCTCTTTTGCCTAACTTTCTCTTGCCTACCTAGGGCTTACCTAGCCATGGCTCCTAACTCTGTCTACCATTCTCGTTCATTCTCACATGCTATCAGAGCTGTCACGCTCCTGGCCTGTGGGCCCACCTGCTTCCGCTGCCCTACTCTGTGTCGCGCACCCCGGAGCGCGCGACCTTCGATTTTTCATCCCGCCGCGCGCTTGGGGCGCGCGGCGGTTTTCTGCCCGCCGTGCGCCCCGAGGCGCGCGGCGGTTTTTTGCCGTGGGGGAGCCCGCGCGCGCCCCGCCCGTCCGCCGCGGCGCCCTGGGGAGCACGCGCGGCCCCCACCCTGCTCGTCGCGGCGCCCTGGTGAGCCCGCGCGCGCCCCGCCCGTTCGTCGCGGCGCCCTGGGGAGCCCGCGCGCGCCCCGCCCGTCCGTCGCGGCGCCCTGGGGAGCACGCGCGGCCCCCACCCTGCTCGTTGCGGCGCCCGGGGAGCACGCGCGGCCCCCGTCCTGCTCGTCGCGGCGCCCTGGGGAGCCCGCGCGCGCCCCGCCCGTCCGTCGCGGCGCCCTGGGGAGCCGCGCGCGCCACCCCCCCCCCCCCCCCCCCCCCCCCCCCCCCCGCCCCGCCCGTCCGTTTGTGCGCCCTGGGGGTCGCGCGCCGTCCCCCCTCGCCATCTCCCGCGCTCCTGCCCCTATCCCACCCGTTTTAGGGTTTGGGGGTGGGGAGTGTGGGGGTGGCGGTTGTGGGGGTGTCGGTTGTGCGTTACTCCCATTGCTCCTCCTCCTCCCTCGTCTCCCACTGCTGCAGCTGCCGCTGAGGGGGGTGGGTGTGTGGGAGCCTAGGGTTTAGGGTTTAAGGGGGGTGCTGTGGGAGTGGAGCTAAGGTTCAGCAGGGGGTGTGTGAGAGGGGCGTGGGGCAGCTGGGGGAGGTTGTGTGAAGGTAGTTGTCGTGTCGCTTGCAGCGCCTGTAGTCCGTCGCCTTTGCTTCGGTAGCCAGTGAGCCTGTTGCACCAGTCGCCAGTGGGTCCGTTGCTCCTGCCGCTCGTCTATAGCCGCGGAGCCAGTCACTCCAGTAGTCAGTCGCCCTTGCTTCGGTAGCCACTGAGTCAGCCGCTCCTGTGCCCGTGCCTCTGCAGCTTCAGTCGTTGCCTCGCATCTTCTCTCCCTCCACAGTTCCTCCTCCTCCTCACTTGCCCGCTGGGATTAACTCTAGCTTTGCTTACTATTGTGAACTCCTGCTCTATGCCTGCTTGCTCATTGTGCTGATTACACCCCACTTTGGCTATGGGGGTGTGTCAGAATGTTATTATCTAGCCTGTAGTGGGGTGCTCTATAGCGGGTACAACCCAGCTAGGGTTTGCTATATGTATCCCAACTGCTGCTAGTGAAAACCCCTCTCTTTTGCCTAACTTTCTCTTGCCTACCTAGGGCTTACCTAGCCATGGCTCCTAACTCTGTCTACCATTCTCGTTCATTCTCACAACAGCCCCTGCTAAATTGGTATGGTAAATACATGGCAGTCACTCACATAGTTACCGTTCACTAGATTTTCTTCATCCTTTATATACTAAGTAAAGAGGATGAAAAAAAAATGTGCATAACGATTGTAATAGGTTGCTTCGCAACCCAAAAAAAAATGGGGGAGGAGATAGTACATCTCTTTGTATGAATATATATTCCTTCCGGTGTTTTCCATGAATGCCCAACCCTTTCGATCTCAAATTCGAATCTTGTTTTTGTGCGACTGGTGAGGGTCGCACTTAGGTTTTCGCACTACGTCTCCCCCGACTCCCTCATTCGCGTCGCGCGAGTCCACTGCGCCCCTGGCCAGGTGCCACCCCCTCCACGTCCGCCGTCACGCTGCTCACACCCACGCGCTCCGCTCCCCAGCCCTCCACTCCGCCCAGGCCCCAAGCCCGGCCCCCCAGTTCCCCAGTCCGCCCAGCTTATTCTGCCCTGCCCTGTACGCCAGCTTCCGTGGCGGCATTAAGGTGGGGGGGCCGCGGCGGGCAGGCGTGCGGCAGGTAAGGAGGGTGAGCGCGTGGTGGTGTACGAGGCGAGGGACGCCATGCGCATCGCCACTGTCACCCCCGCCCGCTCCCTGCAGAACCGGTCAGACCCTCGCTGGCGTGCAGGAGGGTGGCGCGCGGGAAGTTGTTGCAAGGGGGTGGTCCAAGAGGGGTTGGTGCAAGGTGTGGTTGCGCGAGGGAGGGTGGTGCAGAAGGGATGAGAGGCCGTGGCGGTGTGGCAAGGGCAGTTGGGGGGCCTGGTGTGACGCACTTAATAGCGATGCGTGATGGACGGGGGGCGGAGTGGGATGAGGGGCACAGCTGTGCTCCCCACCCCACACTCTGCGTTTACCGCACACTCTTTCTCCATGCACTGCTTCCCCACTCTGCGATGCTCTGAGCCCTCTCATCTCCATGAACCTCCCCCTCCCACCCTCCCCCCCCCCTCCCGCCAGCTTCGGAGTGTTTCGGCACAGCGAGTGGGTGGGGCAGCCGCTGGGGTTGCGCGTGCGGGCGGCCAAGAGAGGCGGCTTCCTGCCCCTGCTCGCCCCCTCGCCTGCCCTGTGGACCAAGGTGACGTGCGACGTGCGGCGCGGTGCGGTGAGGTGAGGTGGGGTGGCGAGTAGGAGGCGTGGGGCATGTGCGAGAACGTCCACTTGAGTGGGATGCTAGGATTCCAGTGGTGCGCCCACCACAGCACACTCACTGCATCGCACCTCACTACATCGCACCTCACTGCATCGCACCTCACTACATCGCACCTCACTGCATCGCACCTCACCTGCCGCTCACTTGCCTCCTTCCACCACCTCTTACCGTCAACTCCCTCATTCCCCACCTTCCCCTCCCCCCCCCCACCAGGTGCTGCCCCACCGCACGCAGATCCTCTACCTGCCTGACATCGCGCTTATCATCGCGCTCATCATCACGCGCCTCGCCGTGACGCCCGGCGTCACCGTGCTGGAGAGCGGCACCGGCACCGGCAGCCTCTTGCACTCCCTCGCCCGCGCCGTGGCGCCCACCGGCCGCCTGTTCTCCTTCGACTTCCACCATGGCTGCGCCGAGCAGGCGAGGTGAGCAGGCGAGGGCAGCCTGCTATGGGTGCTCGTGCTGCTAGAAGCAGGGGTGCGCAGCATATGGCAGGGGAGTGAGGAAGGAGAGGGGTGCGTGCCACACGCATGGGCAGGCTGGGGACAACGATGCCCCTCATCCCAATCCATTCTCTACATGCTCCCATCTTCCTCTGCTTGCTTTAAGAGCTCCAGTCCTCTTATTTTCTGACCTCCCATATGCTCGTACCACCCGCCTAGCTCCACACTTCCCTGGGCAGGGCGGAGTTAGAAGCCAACGGCATAGCGGGCGTGGCAATCGTGGCGGTGAGGGACATCCAGGGCGACGGCTTTCCCCCCCACCTGCACGCCACCGCGCACGCCATCTTCCTCGACCTGCCCTGCCCCTGGCGAGCCCTGCCCTCCGCCGCCAGCTGCCTGATAGCGGGCGGGCGTGCGTGCTCTTTCTCGCCGTGCATGGAGCAGGTGCAGCGCTGCTCCCAAGCCATGCGCGCCCACGGCCTCACCGGTGCGTGACTAGCCCCCCACACACCTCTCTGCTGCCCCGCATTCCCCTGTCGTCCCCTTTTCCACCCATCTGCCTCGTTCGTTGCTCCACCTCCTCTTCTGCTCATCCTTGATCGCTGCTCCCTCCCTGCCATGCCCCGCCTGCCGCCAGACATCCGCACCGTGGAGCTGCTCAGCCGAACCTACGACGTGCGCGAGAAAGTCCTCACCGTGCCAAACCTAAAGCCAGCCTCGGAAGCACCAAGCCTTGAGCCGCCAGGGGAGGGGGGAATGAGAGAGCCAGCGAGGGCGAGGGGGGCCAGCGGAGTGACGGGCGAGCAGCAAAGCGGCGCCGCGAGGAGGGGGGTGGTGGCGAGGAGGGTGGGATGGAGCAGATCACAGCGACGAGGGCGGAGGGGGGGCGAGAGGACGGTGATGCAAGGGGAGAGGCAGGGGCAGCGGGCAGAGGGAGGAGGGAGGCGGGCAGGCGGCAGAGGGGGGTGGCGGAGAGTGTGGGCGAGGAGAGGAGGTACGTGGCAGCGAGGCCCGTGGCGGACAGCAAGGGGCACACGGGGTACCTCACCTTCGCCACCAAGCCCGTGTGATGGCCGTCACATGCAAGGGCCACCGCATGTCTACGGTAGCAGCGGTGACTCGCGGTTTCCAAGTGCATTGGCTCGGATGACAGCTCTGCCTGCCCTTAGGATCTTTTCAAGGCTAAACTCTGAGTAAAAGTGTTGTATTTGTGGAAGCATTTTAGTAACAAGTGCTGAACCACCTTGAGCTAGTGTGTGAGGGCAAGATAGATTGATTTAAGCAAGAAGATACAAGGTTTTATAAGAGTACAAGAAATATGAAAAGATGCAGCTTAATAACCGTTTTACTGTTGCTGTTGCGGTTTGATACAGTGACGACTCGGGCAACTGCTCAATAACGAGTCAGTTATTTGTCCTTGCTGTCGCGCTGTACTTGTCAAGTCAAAGGTCGCTGACCTTTGACCTTCGCGTAACCTCCAGCAGTTACTTCTCTTGTCAACCTCCGATGGTTGACTCGACGTTGTTCCTCTGTAGCTCGCCTCGTTTGTAGTTCGGTGTTACGACACATAAGAAGCGTTTAATTAATTGTTTCCAACACTCCCCTTCGCTCCTGGAGTGTCGTTGCTGGTGATGTGGCCCTGTCCAGTCAGCAGCATGCAGTACTCGAATTTCTGTTTTCCGAGTTTCTTGGTCAAATAGTCGGCTGCCATCTCGGTCGTGGGACAGTAAGATAGCTCGAGTCTCCCCTTCTCGATCTCGTCTTTTACGAAGAAGTATCGCAGGGCAATATGCTTCGTCCGGTTCACGAACCTGTTCTTGTTCGCTATGCGAATTGCAGATTGGTTGTCGCAGAACAGAGGGAAGTTGGTTGCTTCTTCTAGCAGTTCGCGAAGATATAAGCCTTCCTTGGTGGCTGAGCAGAGTGCAATATATTCTGCTTCAGCTGAGGAGAGGGCAATTAGTTCCTGTTTGCTCGATTGCCACGAGATATCGAGTCAGTAGACGTAGCCGGTGCGTGAGCGCCTGTTGTCGGAGTCGCCGGCGTGGTCAGCATCTACGTAGCTGATTAGCTTGGGTGTCGTGGTTCCATTATTGTGATAGGTCAGGCCGATTGTCGGGGTGCTGACGAGGTAGTGGAGTGCGCGGTCGAGCTCCGCCATGTGCTCTGCTTCGGGTTTCTTGAGATAGGTGGCGAGCTGGCTTGCCAAATACGATAGGTCTGGTCGGCAGGTGACGGCTGCGAATAGTAGACATCCTAGCTTTCGCTGATAGTCGCGTATGCCAGCAGGCTTGAGTCGAGCGGAGATTCCTTCGTGGCTTGAGGAGGTGTAGCGATACGGTCTGGAAATAGCAGTTGGAGTTAATCCGAAGCGTTTGGCGATGGTGTCGGCGTATTTTGCGGCGCTGAGGTGGATCGTGTTATCGCCGTCCTGTATGTTGAGTCCTAGATACTGCATCACGGTTGATGAAACGGTAAGAGTTAAGTCCCGCTGCAGCTCCCCTTCGAACCAGGCTGTGACGCCGTTGGTCGAGCTGATGTAGAGTAGATCGTCCACGTAGACGCTGAGTAGGATGTAGTCGGCTCCTTTCGTGAGGTGGTACATCCCTTGATCGTGTGGCAGTTGCCTGAATCCGATGCGGATTAGCTGGGTGTGTAGGTACTGTTGCCACTGTCTCGAGGCCTGTTTTATGCCGTACAGGGACTTCAGTAGCTGACAGACTCGGGTCTGCGTTGGAGTCGTGCGGCTGCTCGACGAAGATTTCAGCGTCGACGGGTGCGTAGAGAAAGGCGTTGGCGACGTCGATTTGACGAAGCTTCTTCCGCTTCATGGCGGCTATCGCGAGGAGAATCCGCAGTGAGGTGTGCAGACTAACAGGTGCGAACGTTTCGGTGAAGTCTCGTCCGTGCTCTTGGTCGAAGCCACGTATGACCCAGCGCGCCTTAAACTTGTCAACGGTTCCATCTGCATATGTTTTCACGCGGAAAACCCATTTTCCGGTGAGGATGGTCTTGTTCCGTGCCACCCCGATAGGTACGACCTTCCAGGTGTTGCATTCTTCCAGCGCTTTCAACTCCCTGTCCATGGTTTCGCGCCATTTTTCCCTGTGTTCCCCCCTCAGAGCCTGCTGAACTGTGGCAGGCTCCTTAGGTGGCGCCGTGCCGTGGACTGCGGTGACGAGTCCGAGTATCTGGAGGCCACTCTGCGTGTAGCGAGGGAGAGCTGGGTCCTCGGGATAGGCTGCTTCATCTCCCGCTTCTGGATCAGGTATGAAGTTAGGTCCTACGCGTTCTGCTTCGTCGGCGTTGACTTGCGCGGATGTAACGTAACCGTTGTCGGCGAAGTGATAGTAGGTTTCGGTGTTGATGCTGTCGCGAGGGTTTTCGTCGTCCATCGGGACGTCGACTGAACAGTAGGGAAGGGGTCCGGCTTCTTTCGAAGCTCTATCCACATTCTGCTCATCCCAGTCAGCTTCGTCTGCTGCCGAAGCGAAGGCTCGGTCACCATGAAAGCCACCTGTGGGGTCTCGATCTTCTTCTAGGTTGGCAAGGTATGTCGGAAGCGTGCGTCGCTCGTAGAAGATGACATCACGTGCTGCCACTGTTTCTTTTGTGTTGATGTCGAAAATCTTCCACGCTTTGTAATGTTTCTCGATGCTCAGGTGTAGTCCCCACTGTGCGTGTTGGGAGAAGCGACCTGCTCGTGTAGGTGGGGGTGGGTCGGTTCTGTACCATGCAGCCAAAAACTCTCAGCATGTTTGTGCTGCCCAATTTTCCTGTCCACAGCAGATGCGGTGATGCGTTGTTCGGGAGCGATGATGAATAGAGCAAGTTGTGCAGCATCACAGCATGGTCCATTGATTATGGCCACTGGTGGTTGGGTAGCCGCATGCCACGCAGCAGTTTGCGCATGGTGTTCTGGAGGGTCATGTTCATCCTTTCTACTACGCCTTGCTGTTGATGAGCGTAGGGAAGGGAGATGAGCCTTTTGATGCCTCATTCTGCCAGGTAGTCCTTGAACCTTTGGGACTGATATTTGTGAAGCGAGAATGAATGACTAAGGAATGAAAGTGATACAAATATGAAACCCTAGAATTGTGTACCCCTTAGTGTCTAACCCGCTACAGCCTACACAGGCTAGATCATATAAGTTTGACACACCCCCATAGGCAAAGTGGGGGAGAACAAGGGGTCACAAGACCAGTCAAGTAAAGCAAGGCAAAGCAAGCTCAGGGTGGATCACAACGTCACCACACATTCTGAGCACAAGTAAAGGCCACAAGGCCAGTTCACATGCATGATTACATATATATATAACGCTAAACAAGCAAGAGCAGGTATATATATGTGTAACAGTACAAGCAAGGTCAAGAAGTGAGCAAGTGAGGCAAGGTAGGCACAAGACCTAACAGAGTGCAGAAGCGCTGATGATCACAAGGCGCGAGTGCCTTGGTGAAGATATCAGCAGTGTTGGCCTCAGAGGCCACGTAAGCAAGGCGCAGCTGACCGCGCTGCTGCAGCTCACGAGCAAGAAAGTAGCGAAGAGCGATGTGCTTCGTTCTGTGCTCCAGTCTGTGCTCCCGACACAAGGCCAGCATGGCCTTGTTGTCTACGTACAGAACTGGAGGAGAACGAGGCGGCTCTCCCAGGCCAGTCAGCAAGTAGGTGAGCCAGCGTAGCTCCTGTGCAGCCATGGCCCCTGCGTAGATCTCAGCCTCACAACTGGAGCCGAGAACAGAAGACGAGCGGGTAGACCGCCACGAAACAGAGCCGGAACCAAGGCTGAAGGTGTAACCCTGTGACGACCGCTGTGTAGCCTGGTCGTCAGCCCAAGAAGCGTCTGCGTGACCAGTGAGGACCACTGGACTCCGCCCTCCAAGCACTAGCCCCATGCCCGACGTACTGCACAAGTAGCGCAACACCCTCTTCGCTGCAGCCATGTGCTCTGGTCGGTGTCTCCCAGGAGCAACATAGCGTGCCAGAATGCTAAGAGGGTATGCAAGGTCAGGTCGAGTGCAGGTCATCAGGTACATGAGGCAGCCAACAAGCTCTGGGTACGGGCCACTCGACTCTACGGACTCATCCGAAGGCAGAGCTGAGAGCGAGTGACGAGTAGACAGAGGAGTGGCCTGAGGCGAGGAGTACGTGAAGCCGAAGCGCTGAAGGACCTGCTGCACCATGTGTGACTGGGTAATGGTGCGCTGTGCTCTGTCCCGGGTGATCTGCAAGCCAAGGTAGCTGCGCAGTTCACCTAGGTCTGTGCACGTGTGTCTCTTCTGCAGCTCGGACTTCACGTAGGCGAGTCCAGCAGTGTCAGCTGTGGCAAAGACCAAGTCGTCGACGTACACGAGGATGTAGAACGGCGGCAAAGAGGTGTCGGTGCGCAGAAACAGCGACGGGTCGGCAGTAGAAGGAGCAAACCCAAGAGCCGCAAGTGTAGTCCTCAGTGTGTCGTGCCACTCACGAGGTGCCTGGCGGAGACCATAGACTGGCCGCCGGAGGCTCCACTGGGTACCAGGAGGAAAAGTCCCAGTGAAGCCAGGTGGGCGGCGTAGCCAGATCTCCTCGTGCAGGCTGCCCTGCAAGAAAGCAGTGCTGAAGTCAAGAGAGTGAAGCTCGTAGTCACGGTGAGCGGCTATGTGCAGCAGTACCCGAAGAGTAGTCATCTTCGGGGTGGGAGAGAAGGTCTGAAAGTAGTCAACTCCCTGCCGCTGACTGAAGCCACGAGCCACGTAACGCGCCTTGAAGACAGGCGGAGAACCCGGCGGCCGCTTCACCCTGAAAATCCACATGCCACTGACGATGTTCGCCCCAGGCGGGGGAACCTCGTCAACGTAGGTACCTGTGGACTTCCAGGAAGCCATCTCTGCGTCCATGGCTGCCTGCCACTGAGAGGAGTAGGGACCCTCTATCGCCTCCGCGTAAGAGCGCGGAGTCGGGATGTCTGGTGCATCCGGGTCTCCCTCAGGGGCAAGTAGCATGGACACGAGATGAGGTGAAGCAGCCGCAAGACACTGGAGGTCCTCCTGTCTGTCCTCAAGGACGTCCGTGCCAAGAGCACACTCACCCC